ATTGAGTGTGATATTATTGTGTTCGGTGCAGTTTATTTTATAACGCTGATAACAATGAATCAACAAATTATCAAGGGAGAAGCTGCAGATACTGCAAAAACTAGGTTAAGGGTGCTCATGTACTAAATGCCTGTTCGAGTTTCACCTTCTTCTAAATTTCCAATTAAAGTACACACACAATTATACACACTAAAGCAGTTTAAGTGCAAAGAATGCGGATCGTCCATCAATTTGCACAAAATTGTACTACAAACTTTTGGAAATAATCTTCGAACGACCGGGTATTTATCATTGCAAATGAGATGTTAAATATTGTTTTAAGAACTAACAATCGATGTTGTGCAACAAAATTGTGCCTAAGATTCACTACAATAAAGTTTTTGAAAAACTGTTGGACCTATTTTAAATCGCCTGATTGATTGTGGACGCAAATTCGTATCAAGAAAAGATTAAATTAAATTAAATCGTATCGATAGAATCCTTTTACCGATTCTGTTTGTCTTACTCTCCATTTGTAGTCCAGACTCTGTCCATTTGCATCAATATTTATATATATTTTGAAATCTTTCATATTTCAAGCAAATAAGAAATGCCGACTAAAAAATACAGAAACTCAAGAAGAAGAGTTTACACAAACCCAAGAAGAGCAATAGGTACAACATCTCGTTAAAGAATGTGTGCTGGTACGCATGCTACTTGCAAAATTGAACAAAATTATTTTATTACAAAACATGCGTTTTCTTTAGCTATACAGGGTGATTCAAAATTGGCGTCATTCCTCTGGCGGTGTTTTAGGAGTACAGAAAAAATTGTAAAAAAAATTATTTGCTATTAAAAACTGAGAAATTTGCAAAAAACTATATTGGTAAACGGGCAACAATGTTCTTCACGGTAATCTGCCCAATTAACATCACGTAAATACCTGTTGCTTCGCAATTATTTAAAACTCCGGTAACCATGGATAAATAGAGAAAGTGACAATAAGATAGACAAGGATAAACAATAAATTCAACAGGAATCGTTGAATGATCGAACTTATTTCGAAACTCATAACCTCGAATTTTTAATTTGTTTACAAATAACGAAAACATACATTTGAGTCGGTAACACCAAACAAGTGCCTGTGTAATCACCTTATTATGAACTTTTCTCGGGCAGCTCCTCGTTTTCGTAGCAAACGTGGTTAAAATAATGCCCCTTCCTCATAAAACACCCTGTACAAGTGCACATTGCAACTCCATTTCGATTCGAGATTCTTATGCTGCCTGCCAAAAAGCGAACTTATGTGCCCGAATAAACTGCTGGGTTATACAGAGTCGTAAAAAAGTCATCGGATTTGTTGCTCGATTTATTTCTCGAATGCTAAAATCGCTTTCCAGCGCTGTACGTAAAGATAAGTCAGCAGCAGCAGCAGCAGTCACCTAAAGAAACACATCATATTATGGCGACCGAACAGTTTCGAAAACTCGCTTTAATCAATTTTATTGGCTCTTTCCCAAAGTGGCATTCCGTCTGCCCGATTATGGGTTTTGATGTCTTACATGGAATATTATGTTGATTCCGACTTTTAGTTCACTGTTTATCGTCGAACTTTTTCCGGATCGAGTTCCAACATTCCCAATGGCCCGTCGCTCCGCTCTATCGTTTTTTTAACTTCCCGCATGTGGAAGAGTCGCTGGCTTGGCACAAAAACTGTTTTCCCCATTGATAGTGTTTCTATCGTTTTAATCACGAGGGCATCAGGTTGCAGACCGAAAAACCGACAATAAATCCGGATTTTTTGCCGATACGATGATGTGAGAATGAAAATTTCGATTCAGTTCATCCATGGAAAATTGCAGCTCAATTCCATAACTCTTGATGGCCATGGAGAGGTTGGTTTATCGCGCCACAACATTTGCTCTAACTTTATATGTCGCAAAGCCCCAAAGCAAGTCGTAACTGGTTTCTGATAGAACTGTTGTCTGCAACCCTTAGCTCTAATGCGTTTTGTGTCCACTATTTATGGTTTAATATTATCGGCGCTTCCGAGTCAGAATGCCCTCGTCGCTATAAAATAGATGAATGACTCAATGAAAAGTGCTAGTAAAAAGTCACAGTTTCGGGATAATGAATATAAAAAGCAGGCGATTGCCGATTATTTATTAAGCATTGGATGTAAGATGGAGGCGTAACAGCAACAATGGGAAACAGTGACGGCGTTAACAAAAATTCCTAAAATATTGGCACCTGGAGATGCAGAAAAGACCTGGACGAAATTCTTTTTCACCATTCCTTCGGCCTAAAAGCCCGAGAAAATCAATCAAGAAAATCAACGAATTTTTCAAAAATTTATCAGGAGAAAGCCAAAAACTCCACAATCTGGCTCACAATATCACTCGAAAGAGAAAATGCGCTGCTTTCAGTGTGGAAAAACGCACTTTAATAGTAAATTTCTGGCAATTTTCAGTTACGAAGGCGAGCCGATTATTATTATTATTATAAAACACGAATTTTCCATAAATTTTACGAAAGAAAACCAAAAATCCCACAATCTGGCTCATAATATCTATCACGCGAAAGAGCATTTTCTCTTTCGCGTGATTCGCTGCTTTAAGTATGGAAAAACACATTTTAATAAGAAATTTCTCAACTACTAAGACAAAGCGATTGGCCATTAAAATACACGAATTTTTCAAAAATTTGACGAGAAAATCCAAAAATCCCAGAACCTCGATCATAATATCGCTCTAAAGAGAAAATGCGCTGATTTGGGACTGGAAACGCATACTTAAATAGGAAATTTTTCGGAGTTTCTACGATTTTTTCGGATACCTACTAAATCGAAACGATTGGTCGTTGGGCAACACCGATTTTTTAAAAATTCGCCAAGGTAAAACCAAAAATCCCCCAATCCGGCTCATAATATCAATCGAAAGAGAAAATGCGCTGCTTTAAATGCGGAAACACGCACTTTAATAGAAAATTTCTGGGAATTTTCAGGATTTTTTCATTTACTAATGCGAGCCCATTGGCCATTCGAATACACGAATTTTTCAAAAATTTCACAATGCCAAAAATGCCACAATTCAATGCATAATATGACTCTAAAGAGAAAATGCCCTGGTTTAAGTGTGAAATCACTAACTTTGATAGAAAATATTTGGGAGATAATTCTATATTGTTGAGGCGGATTCATTTTTTTACAAACTTCTTTTTGGGTATTTTGCCTCAAAAATTTTTGTCTTTAAAAAAGACAGAATTT